GAATTTTAGAATTCTATAAAATTATATCATATGCTTGGTAAATGAGCCTACATGACCATAAGTCACATCAACAGTTATTATACGGGACATGAACCTTGTATGCACTTCTTTTTCTCTATTTAAAAAATAAATAGATTCCAATCCTTGGTAAATAGGAAATATCTTGATTTATCTTTTCAATGCTCCAACTTTCAGGGTAGATATAGGCCTTTGATTTTTATTTTTATTTTAATAACACTAGAAGTTGAGTGGGTACTCGTATCTGTATCAGCTACTTTTTTCAAATGTTGATGCCAAAGGTCAAGAGTCACATAAGTTTTGGGACGACTATTAGGAGAAGGTTGATGTGACATTCAGCAAGGGGAAGTCGAGCAAAATCAGGTGATTTTGGTCATTTTCTTCATGGACCTTCAAGTGCACCTTCTAGAAGCAATTGAAGGGTGGATGTGGAGATGGAAAATACTTGGTTGTGAGTGTGATGTCTACCTTAGGAAACCAAGCCAAATCCAACCCATTAAATCCCACACTAAGGTAGTTTTTTGGATGTAGAATGTATAATCGCGCTCTTCAGGACATTAACAGTAAATAATTTTGTATAATTATAGGTTTTGTTAGTTGTTGTTGTTGCAGTTTTTTATGACATGTAGTTTCACTTATGATGATAGTATATTGCAAAAATGGTGGCTTTGTAACTGATGCTTTCTTTCTTGATCTTTACTCTACAAGGAATTAAAATGTGTGTAGATCAACCTGAACTTTTGTGGGGTTCAACAAATTATGAAGCTTTTTTGTGTTTGTACGGAGTATTTGCAAAGCTTCTTCTTGCTGCACCACTTTTCCAGAGTTGAACTGAGGTGACTTGTCTCGACTTTTAAAAAATGACTATTTTTCGACTTTTGAAATCAACAACCTCTTTTGGTTTCTCGATACAACCATGATAGATACATTAAACGATATAATTATTGGCGCTAAATGTGAAATGATAGTAACACTTGTTCTTGTTTTTTGATTGGAGAATTATTGCTCTCTTTGCTTGTATTATATGTTATTTTAAGTATCTAACAATAAATTTTTTTTTAATTTTAAAAATGCACTTTTGAATATAATTATATTTATGGATCACATACTCATTTGATATGCGAACCGTCAAACATAAAATCAATTCTTCTTTTTATTTATGAAATAATTTAATATACGAGTAAAAACATTAATTACCGGTGGGGGTGATAGAATGGAAGGACATGTTGATTGGGTATGTGAAATCTAGATCCACCAATGGTGATTGTGGAAGAGGGTCCAAATGGGCTATTCTCTATCTCTATGCAACCCAATAGACTTGTGATGTGATTAGATGGTGGGAGGATTTGAATTAATGGTTTAAACCCAACGATTTTGGTTTAGAGAATCTTAAACTCAACATACTTGTATTTTTAGAGGATAGATTAAACGACAATAAAACTTCATTCTATGGTACAAAACATATTACCTAGAGTTTCGGCCAATGAAGTGATCTGGTGAAGTAGTTGTGAAGGCCTAAAGCTAGGGAAAGATCGAGATACGAGTCTGTCCAATCTGGTTGTGTGAGGTTGATTTGTACGTGACCCTTTTTCTACCCATCTATCTTGACCTATATTGCTGTACAATTTAGGCATCGATTAGGTTTTGGCCTAATTCAAATTCGTCATTGAGCCTATTTTTCAGGGTAGGTGGTTGGCTAATCAACTTTATGTGCAATCTTATTATAAAAGTGCAATTATGAATTGAAGTATGTGACATTTTGATAATATCTTGTAAGAGATGATATAAATTATTGCATAAATCGATATATCTTTTAAACTATTATTACAAAATACATGTATTGCTTATGCCATCAACCATACATGGATATTTTGTTTATGAGTTAATGATAAGCTTTAAAACTAAATTGGCTTTATGACTCATCCGTTTTGACATCCTTGTTGTGTGGATTAAACCATTTACCTTATATTTCATTCCATTGTTACCCTTCTTGCTTAGCCATATTTCTTTTGCGTTCAACTCAAGTTGATCTACTCATCCCTTCCTTTGCATCCCCTGTTTTCATCTTCATTCCCATCCCTACCACGCAAAGAACTTTGTTTGCTCCACTCGCTCTTTCCATTTCTTGTTCTCCGTTCGATCTGGTCTCGTTCTCCATCTCTCGATCTGATCAGGTATGATTTTTAATCTAAGGCTTGTATGATATGCGATCTGGTCTAGTATGATATGGTTATGGTATGATAAATCTATATTTTTGGGCGGGTGTATTGATGGGTTCGAATATGATACAAGGTTTGTACTAATTTTCAAAAGCCAGTGGAAGATTTTCAGAAGCTATTTGATTCAAATTGTGAAGTGAAGATTTTCATAGGTGGTTTGGTTCAATTCGTGGAATGAAGATCTTCAAGGAATGATGTTGCTTGATTCAATTCGTTATATTTTCCATTGCTCGTTATTGATGTTCATTTTATTTGTTTTACCACCACGAATATCATTTGCTAAAAGCGTAAGTAGTTGTTTTGGTTACCATTATAATTCTACAAGTTAGTAACGAAAACAAGCATGAGCTCGTAAAACGAATGTAAAGGACAAAATGGTCATTTCAACAGTTCAAATGATTTATCCAGCTTAAAATAAATAAATAACTAGCTTAATATACAACCAATTTGAGTCCATACAAGGCTCAACTTAAATGCTGAAATACCATGATGAGACTTGTGTTATGTTTAATGATCTCTTAGATGGTTGACATATTAAAATCCAATTGTTCATTACTTGTGTATATTTTGAATTATAATGTCACCTCTCATTTTTTTTTATTTCTTTCGAGTGCCGTGACGTCATTCTTAATAACTTATGTCATGAACAAAATATGAACTTAAAAATTTCAAACATACATCATGTGTTTAACATAATTCATTACATAATTATGGAAGCATAAAATACTTTAACGTAATCAATGCTAATTAAAATATTTAATCAAGCATGATGCAAAACATAGTTCCAACTTTCTTTGTTTGAACCGTCTAGTGACAATCGGCACATGAGATATATACATGTAAAAGCTTAATGAATACAATATGGTTTCGTAACGATAATAATCAAAATAAAGCTTAGATACCAATTCCCAAGTGATAGGGTCATTTTGGTAATTTATAATACAAATATGTAAAATATTGTTAAAATACCGATTTCCAAATTGTAGGGTCATTTCCGTAATTTCATAAAGATTATATTCATAATAAAACTTACATACCAATTTCCAAGACATAGAGTTATTTCCGTAATTTATAAAGCAAATACGTAAAGTATCGTTAAAATACCGATTTCCAAATTGTAGGATCATTTTGGTAATTTCATAAGGATTATATTCAAAATAACACTTAGATATCAATTCCCAAGACATTGGGTAATTTTATAAATCAAATACGTAAAATATTGCTAAAATACGGATTTTTAAATATAAGGTCATTTTGTTAATTTTATAAAGATAATAATATAAAAATGAAGCTCATATATCAATCTCCAAGACATATGGTTATTTCAGTAATTTTATAAAGCAAGTACGTGAAATATTGCTAAAAAAACGATTTCTTATGTATATGGTCATTTTGGTAATTAAACAAGATAAATAATCGAAATAAAGTAAGGATTTGCAATTTATAAAATCCAAATAAAATTTGATGAAAGTTTCAGAAAATTATTATAAAGAAAATTATATTTCTGAAACCAGGGGCGGATGCAGGAGAAGGTGGTTGGGGTCCTGGGCCCCCAACAAAAATTAGATAGGAAGGCCCAAAAAAAAATTACTTGTATTTTTTTGTTAGATGTAATTGGGCTCCCAACAACATAAGGTAAGAGGCCCCTTTGAATCAGAAACGAGTGAAGCAGTGAGCCTGTGAAGTGTGATTCGTGTGAGTGTGAAGAGTGAAGACATACGCATACCGATTACCGAATCGAAATCGATTACCGCATACGAGCTCCTTCAGTTCTTGTTCTTCTCTTCTTATTCTTCTGTTCTTCATCCAGTGGCCGGACGGGACCATATCCAGTGGCCGGACGGGACGGCGAGAGCCGAGACCGAGAGGCTGCGACCTGCGAGGCGAGGCTGCGACTGCCGAGTGCCGACTGCGAGCGCCGAGAGGGCGAGAGCCTGTGAGTGTGTGTGTGGCTGTGTGCTCTCGAGTGAGTCTCGCCTCTTTTCTGTAAGTTTGTTTTGTTCGACTGTTCCTACTTGGCTACTGCCTACTTCTAAGACCTAAGTTCTACTTGTCTTGATTCTAATTTCCAACTGTGAACTGGCAGCTTCAATTAGTACTTTAGTCTTTAGTAGTATTTAAGTATTTTAGTTTTTAGGTTAATTTTGTGGTGATTGGTAAATGGTAAATGCTTTAGGTTAAGTATTTTAGGTTAATTTTGTTAGTTAATTTTGTGGTAATTGGTAAATG